TGTCCTCAGAAGAACGAACTCAGGAGACCGCGAGGGCAGAGAACGCGTCCTTTGAGAAATGGGATGCTGCGTTCTTCCTGATGGTCACATGACCTTCACGTGTTTTAAATGGTAAATTATTTAAACATTACAGCCTTCATACAACGATTTATTGTTTTTCCCCTTTTCAAAATATATACTTTGCATAAAAACATTATAAATATATGTTGCACAATATAAATAAAACAGATTTTAATACGAATTTCAGCAAACAAACACCCTTAATGTGTTTATTCCTTTATAAAGATGTCCATGGTAATGTTTACTTTCACCGTTTCATTTAGGGAAACTCCTGAAGTAAATAATTCATATCTATGAACTTTAATAATAAGTCTAGATAAAATGCTGCGCTTCCCACCTCCAGTCGCAATGACTTCTGGGACTTCCAGAGCGAGTTCGGTGCTCAAGTCTGCATTAGTGCGTCCTCGATATCAAGAACACATCGGGGAAGTTTCATGCGTCCTCCGTACTTGCGGTCTTGAGTATTGGAACTGAACTTAGGCAGCTGATGATGACGTTTCACGAGAACACGAGGACGCAAGACCGCTGAAGAACGCATATTGAGAAACAGCCACTGCCTTTTATGTTTCAAATTGCATTTCTGTTTAATTTTTGTAACTGGAAGAAACAGTGAGAAGTAAGGCTACACAGTGACAATAGTGTACATGCTCACTTATTTGTTAACACATTTTTCAAGTTGTCATCTGAAATGTTGAAATGTCCTTTTTATGCTTATGCTTCTAGGAATAGCAGGGTGTTTGAACAATAGATCCCATGAGAAACAGTCTTAAAGACTGGTACTTCTGTGTGATAGAAGTTTGTTACAAAGAAGCTGGTTTAGGGCTCTGTAATGTAAGTTCAGTTCCAAAAAGATGTTCAGTGTTATAAAATATATCATGTTGATGAGCTGCTTGAGATCAATGCCCTAAAAGAAAAGCTTATATACTATTTCTAAAACCCTGGCTATGTATTTTGTACATGTAACAATGAAAAACGTATTGTATCCCTGAATTCCATGACACTGTGAATTTAGGGAATAGGTGAAAATGAAAGTGTAGCTTGGGCGTATCCCTTTTTGGCTGTGTCCTGCATAAAATATTTTAGTCTGTAAAGCCAGACATCATATCTGCACCAGTGTTTTCTTGTGGTGAGGACTAAGCATAAATATATGGTAAGAAAAAACAAGCTGATTGTTTCACATTTGTCACATTTATTTTATTGTTTGGAAAGATGGAAAGGTAACTACTCAATTTTTTTTTGCTGCTTGTACAACTGCTTATTTTAAATAAGCTAAAGCAGCACAATTCTTGAGATTTTTGTGACAACATAATTGTTTTATATTTAATCCAACATGAATGGTGTGGAACACTGCAATTTTACAGTGTATGTTGCTTCTTTTCTTTTTTTTCTTTTTAAAAAAAAATAAAAATGACAACTTTGAACATGTTTCACTCTGAAACATCTAGATCAAATAAGAAATACTGAAACAATAGGTTTCTTGTAAAAGGTTGAATAATCTTTCTTTACAGCTTCTTTTTATAGTATTCCTGCATCTTCTGCTCTGAAACTTAACAGTCAAACTGATAAAAAGTAAGATCTCTCCATCTTATGCTGATTTCAGTTCAGTTTATCTTAAAATGTACAGATCATGTGCACAAACACACAAAAGGACTTTGGACTGTTTGTAAAGGTAATTCAGAGCATTGTTCTTAATCTAAATGTTAGAAAGGAGTTGCTGAAATATAAACGAATTAACTATTTAATACTTAACTGTTTTTCACCGTAAATGTTTTTGGATGGCCTGAAATCATGTCTCTATAAAACACAGTGCATTAGCATTGGTGGTTTGTCTGCTCAATCACAAGTTACCTTCATTAGCTTTAGTTAGACTACAGTGGGCTAGCTATTGCAACTATGTATTTCTTTCAATAAATAAGTAATGATTTACAAAACAGTTTGGTATTCTTATTTAAATTTTATAAAAATGAAGCTATAACACAAGGGGGTCTTATTTTGTAAGTGTTATAGATCTTCACTTTTTTCTAAATGATTATGTTACAGCCTTTTGTCGAAAGTGGATTAAATTCATTTATTTCCTCAAACATCTACACACAATAGCCCATAATGACAATATGGGAAAAAAAGATTGTTGCAAATTTATCAAATATAAAAAAACCTAAAAAAAAAAAAAAAAAAATCACATGTACATAAATATTTACAGCCTTTGCTGTGAAGCTCTAAATTGAGCTCAGGTAGATTCTGTTTCCACTGATCATTCTTGAGATCTTTCAGCAGGTTAATTTTACTGTGGTAAGTTCAGTTGATTGGACATGATTTGAAAAGACATACACCTGTTTATCTAAGGTCCCAGGGTTGACAGTGCATGTTAAAGCACAAACCAAGCATGAGGAATTGTCTGTAGACCTTCGAGACAGGATTGTCTCGAGGCACAAGGCTGGGGAAGGTTACAGAAAAATTTCTGCTGCTCTGAAAGTTCCAATGAGCACAGTGGCCTCCATCATCCGTAAGTGAAAAATGTTTGGAACCACCAGGACTCTTCCTAGAGCTGGCCAGCCATCTAAGCTGAGTGATCGGGGGAGAAGGACCTTAGTCAGGAAGGTGATCAATAACCCGATGGTCAATCTGTCTAAGCTCCAGCGTTCTTCTGTGGAGAGAGGAGAACCTTACAGAAGGACAACCATCTGTGCAGCAATCCACCAGTCGAGCCTGTATAGTAGAGTGGCCAGACAGAAGTCACTCCCCACCTGGAATTTGCCAAAAGGCATCTGAAGGACCATATTAAACAAAACTCCCTGGTCTGATGAGACTAAAATTTAACTCTTTAGAGTGAATGACTTTTAAAGAAAACCAGGCACCAGATTAATACCATCCCTACAATGAAGCATGGTGGTGGCAGCAGATGTTTTTCAGCAGCAGGAACTGGAAGACTAGTGAGGATGGAGGGAAAGATGAATGCAGTAATGTACAGAGACATCCTGAATGATAACCTGCTTCAGAGTCCTCTTGACCTCACACTGGGGCGACGGTTCATCTTCCAGCAGGACAATGACCCAAAGAACACCGCCAAAATATTAATGGAGTGGCTTCATAACAACTCTTTAAATGTCCTTGAGAGGCCCAGCCAGAGCTCAGACCTAAATCCTATTGAACATCTTTGGAGAGATCTAAAAATGGCTGTACACAGTCGCTGTATATTGGAGTACGTAATCAGAATGAGCCTGGGTTGCACATATTAGAGCAGTGTGATGGAAGCTGACATTATCCCAAACAACAGGGAGTCTGCTCTGGCTGTGCTGGTTCTGTGTAATGTAGTTGGAGCACATGCTATTTTAGACCATGAAGGAAAGCAAGGAGAAGCGTAGTGTTATAGGATCCTAGAACGACAAGGCAGTGGAGTGACCCTCGCTAGCTGATGGCTGTGTAATGTCACTCACTCCGCACAGACAAGGGTCATTTATGATAGTCTGGTGTCTAAGTCCCCGTTTACACTAATGCAATTTCGTTTTAAAACGCATAAGTTTTGCTACGGTTACGCCATCCGTCCACACTACGCGAATGGTCACGTGATATGCGTTTTTGGCATAGTGTGGACGGAGATATGTTCAGATACGCTAGATGAAAGGACGCTAGTGTGGACGCGGATCGTTTTTGTTCTTTTCGTCTTTTTGGTCGGGTTAAAACCTGTCTCATTCACATAAATAATTTCATTGGGAACAGCAGAGTTCATCACTATCCTGATCCACAGGTTAAGAGTGAACAAGTGGCAGCATAAACTGCTATGCTGTGAGGGAACACAATATTTTCTACAATATCAAAACTCATACCTGAAGATATTCCACTCGTTGGTCTTTCACCATCCCAGGCTCATTCCGGAAACGTTCTGGAGACTGCGAAATACGTCCCAAGAGGTATGTATTTTTGCAGTTTTTGTTTTTGCGAATCCGCGAGAGGCCGCTGTGTGCACTTTTTTGCATCGCAAATGTCTCTCCCGAGTGCCATTCGTGCCCACAATGTTCTCGCGCAAACCCACCAGAGGTCGCTGTCTGACTGACCAATTGATTGACTAGGCGACCGGCCAATTGGCTGACGCACCCTCCTCCCTTCCCTGAACCCAATCAGTTTCACCCATCGACCCGCCCGCCCGCTCTCTTCCTCAAACCAGAGCAACAATTTAGAAAAGCCGTCTATAAAAAGTAAAGCCCCTACTCTGATTTCTTTACAGCCTTTTCTGATTTCACCATGCTCTCACCCTGTTGTGAACTCGTTCACTTTATTTTTTGGATTCTGTTTTTGTCATACCTGGTTTCTGGAACTGCTCTTCCCCGGATTCGAACCCGGTCGCCGTGATCAACTCCTCCTCTCTGCATCTGAAGTCTGCCGACGAACATGATGAGCTGACTAGACAAACTGATTGCGACGTGAAAGCCCTCAGCCGGTAAGCGCGAAAGGGAATGGTTTCACACCGCCCCGTAGCGTTCGCTTACAAAAATGAAATGCAGCCATACATACCTCAGGACGTATTTCGCGGTCTCCAGAAACGTCCGCAGGGCTACATTTGCAGAATGAGCCTGGGTTGTTTTTCACTCTGTCAGAGCTGTATGCTTGTTTCATCCAGAGCTGGGTCTTTCGGAGGATACTAACAATTGTGGAGAGGCTGATGACATTTATCCCTCAATAATGATGATTATCATCATTACTAACTGAGCTGTGAGCTCAAGCTGTGCTTACTTTAATTAACATTTTTCGTTGCTAGTGCTTTTTAAAAGACCACATGGTGTAAGCACTAAAAAAGTAAGGATTTGTGTTTTACAGTAACAGTTCACCAAATACAACTCATGTGTCAAAGCAGGGAATAGTGTTTATAGTTTAGGTACATAAGTGTACTTTTCAAAAATGGGGTTATAGTTTTGAAATTTTAGTTCAAAAAGCAGAGAACAGAGAAAAAACAATTGACAGAATTATCTATGGTCTAATGGATCACAGTATCATATATATTTATAATAAAACAGTTAATGTTGTTCTGTTTTAGATGGCAAGATCAAAAGTATCTGGAGATTACAGTATACCTCAGAAGGACCTGGAAGATCTTAAAGATACCATAACTAGTCAAGATCTTCCAACAGCAATAAACACCATCAAAGAGTATCTCAAGCAGCAAGATCTTGTTGAGCTTAACATTGGTGTGGCTGGAGAGTCTGGCTCTGGAAAGTCCACATTTGTCAATGCATTCAGAGGTTTAGGAGATGAAGACAAGGGCTCTGCTAAAACCGGTGTAGTAGAAACCACTTTGGAGCCTGAAGTTTATCATCATCCAAAATACAACAATGTGAAAGTGTGGGATCTTCCTGGCATTGGAACACCAAACTTCAAAGCCGATGAGTACCTTCAGCAGGTTGAGTTTGAGCGCTATGATTTTTTCATCATCATTGCTTCAGATCGGTTCAGAGAATGCCACACTCAGCTGGCCAAAGAGATCATGAGGATGGGGAAAAAGTTTTACTTTGTTCGTTCCAAGATTGACGCAAGCATTACTGCTGAAAAGAGGAAGAAGAACTTTGACTTGGAAGAGACACTGGATGCCATCCGAGAGGACTGTGTAAATGGTTAGTTCAGTTCACATGACAATACTTTGAGTAGCAACTTAATAAGAAACGTTTTGATTTGGATGTTGCATTTATAATGATTGCAGTACAGAAGTATATATTGTGCATAATGATATTAATAACATTTACAATGTATCAATCTATATAAAATTATAATAATTCTTCTTTTTTTGAATTCTTCTTATTCAGTAATGCATTTTTCTGTTTCTGGCCAGGTCTGAGAAAGATCGGTATAGAAGATCCTGTTGTATTCCTGATCTCAGGCTGGGAGCTCGGCAAGTATGATTTAAATCTGCTGCAGGACAGAATGGAGAAAGAGCTTCCACAGCATAAGAGACGTGTGCTGTTGTTGGCTTTGCCAAATATCACTCTGGAGATTAACGAGAAGAAGAAGAAAGCTCTTGAGGAAAACATTGTAAGAGTTGCCTTTCTGTCTGCTTGTGTGGCTGCTGTTCCCATTCCTGGTCTTTCCATTGCTGTGGATTTAGTCATTGTTAAAAGGGAGATAGAAATTTACTACAGCACCTTTGGTCTGGATGATCCATCCCTGCAGATGCTGTGTGAAAAATCTGGGAAATCTTTTCAACAATTGAAAAGTTTATTGAAATCTCCACTGAGTGGTGGGATAAACCCAGCTTCAATTTTAACCTTGCTGGGTGCTGCATCCATACTCATTGCTGAAGATGTAGTTGAGCTTACCCTGAGCTTCTTACCCATAATTGGTACTGTGGTGGCAGGAGGATTCTCGTATGCGACAGTCTATTTTATGCTGAATAAAGCTTTAAATGACCTAGCAGAAGATGCCAGAAATGTGTTAATGGCTGCAGTGGGGACTGATGTGTAAACCTGAAAATTTCTCAAACTGAAAATCTCTAAACTGAAAATCTCTCAACCGCGAAACTAAATATTTAAAAAATTAAATATATAAAAATATATTCCTCAAATATATTTACTTTCTCATCATTATTTGTACATTTAGAAGACATACAGGACATAATTAAAACTAAACCTTAAAAAAAGTACTTCACAAAAACAACAATATCTAATTCAGTGGATCATGATTTACTTTCTTCTACACTTGACACAAATAGGACTCTGCTTGGAATTCTACATGATTTGCTGCAACCTATATGTTTGTTTTTTTGTTCAGAATGCAAAGAGACAAATAAAACATAATCTATCAAATGTAAAAAGAAAAGAAAAAAGTACATTTTATTTCGCTTTGATACAGCCCAACAATCTAAAGCAGGGGTCACCAAACTTGTTCCTGGAGGGTCTGTGTCCTGCAGATTTTAGCTCCAACCCTAATCAAACACACCTGAACAAGCTAATCAAGGTCTTACTAGGTATACGTGAAACACCCAGGCAGGTGTGTTAAGGCAAGTTGGAGCTAAACACTGGAGGGACACCGGCCCTCCAGGACCGAAATTGGTGACCCCCTGATCTAAAGCATCTTGAAGTGGCAAGTTTTGAATTTGTAACTAGTGCTGAGGTGGGAACATGAACAGGACTGACAAAGGCTTAATTTGGCCCAATTGTATGTATTCTGAAGATTTGGATTACAGCAAAATAAAATAGATTTCTTCGTAATTATATCAAATTTCTTGGTGTATTTTATTTTTGTCATTGCAATATACGTTGGATAAATGTCTTTAGTTTTAAGGTGGTCTTTAAAGAGTGGTCATGTTTAACATTATATTGTCCTTCGAAATGAGCTAGCAAAATAAATCACAACTAACATAATTATTTCAAATATCATAAATGACTATTTACGTTTAATGTAATTGAAAGCATAATGCCATTAATGACCCATTTCCACTAAGAGATATGGTACGGTACCCTTATTTTTTTTGGCCATTTCCACTTTCAAAAGGTACTTAGAAGCAAACTGTCCCATACTACTTTTTGGGTATCCTTTCAGAAGGGTACCTAGCACAACAAAAGGGTACCAAATTCGGGGCAAGACACACAGCTGAACCCTATTGGTTTACAGAGATACGTCACTCACTCGTGCAACAAGCCAGGAGAATGAAAACAAAGAAAGCGCTATTAAAAACACAGCTGAGACATTACACCGTAATAACATATACATATAATAACGTGCCATGGTCAACCCGAGCCTAAACAAACCTTGTCATCGTCTTGATGAACAGCCTCAAAGCCAAGAAGAAGAGCAGAATGACCCTGTGCCCTGTAGTTGTTTACAAGGCTGTCTAAAGCGGGAGCAGTTTTGCTTTCTTGCTTGCGGTCACCGCACTTCGATATTTGAAACAACGAACTTCTTGAGCTACAATCCAAGGGCGTAGTTTATCTTAGATTAGTAATCAGGTGAGTGCAACTGGGTAAACTGGGATCCTGGTGGGGGAGGTGACTGTGGTGACTGCCTCCTGTGATCAGCTGGCAAGATCTGACAGTTGCAGGAGTTAAGAAAGTGCAGTCTAATCTGACATTTTTCCATAGACTTTGTCCATTTCAGAGGTCACCACAGCAGAATGAACTGCCAACTATTCCAGCTTATGTTTTACACAGTCCTTCCAGCTGCATCCCAATACAGGGAAGACTTAAATTGGAAAAGTTTATCCAATTCACCTAAAGCTCATGTTTTTGGACTGTGAGGGAAACCAGAGCACACACAGGAAATCCACACTAACAGGGAGAGAACATGCAAACTCAACATAGAAAAGCCAACTGACCTAGCCGGGACTCGAACCATCGACCTTCCTGATTTATAAAAACATATGTGCATGCGTAGATATTTAACGTAATATAAAAATCACAATTTAAGCTTACAGTGACATTCGATGATATAAAACAAGGAAATTGTAATATATATATATATATATATATATATATATATATATATATATATATATATATATATATATATATATATATATATATATACAGTTGAAGTCAGAATTATTAGCCCCCCTGAATCATTAGCGCCCCTGTTTATTTTTTTCCCCAATTTCTGTTCTGTTCTGGGAAGATTGTTTTAGCACATTTCTAAGCATAATAGTATTAAAAACTTATTTCTAATAACTGATTTATTTTATCTTTTCCATGATGACAGTAAATAATATTTTACTAGATATTTTTCAAGACACTTCTATACAGCTTAGTGACATTAAAAGGCTTAACTAGGTTAATAAGGTAAACTAGGCAAGTTAGGGTAATTAGTCAAGTTATTGTATAACGATGGTTTGTTCTGTAGACTATCGAAAAAAAATTTGCTTAAAGAGCTAATAATTTTATCCCAAAAATGTTTTTTTTTTAAATTAAAAACTGCTTTTATTCTAGCCAAAATAAAACAAATAAAACTTTCTCCAGAAGAAAAAACATTATCAGACATACTGTGAAAATTTCATTGCTCTGTTAAAAATCATTTGGGAATTATTTAAAAAAGAAAATCAAAATCAAAAGAGGGCTAATAATTCTGACTTCAACTGTACTGCTTGTCACAGCTCTCATGTGAACGATTTCCATCCTCATACACCTCTAATATCCATCACTAGCATTCAGTCCACTGGTGTTGCTGCGAAAAACGAGAAAAAGAGGAGAAGAGTATCCACAAGAAGAGTTCTGAAGGTAAATCTAGTGGCCATTTGAGAATGCGTTGCCTTCTCTCATCATCCTTTTCAGCCTTGTATGAAGTAGAGTACATTACATTAATCTCGATAAGTATAAATATGTTTAAAAAGCACTCTAAAAGTTTCATTGTTCGCTGTATTTTGAAGTGTCCACTATATCAGTATTGTGCAGGTTCATTTTCCCGATGTATTGAATTATTGAGTGTAGGCATATGTCTATTCCCCTCTTTAGATACGGAACCTCTTTCAAGTGGTCTGAAAGTCCTTCCTCCTGGGCCGAGTTTTTCAAAAGTTATCCACTAGGATTTTGGATAAGGGATTTGATTAAATCTTGAAAATGGGTTTTTCAAAAGAAAAAACAGATTACATAATCGGATTAGATCACGTAATCCAATCTTGGGTTTAATCCGGATCAAACCTATAGTTTGGGTTTTTCAGATCTTTTTGTAGGATTTGGATCACTTTGATTAAGCTGATCCCATCAGAAGGGTGGATTCAGCATGGACTTCATTTCATAAATGTAATGAAAACTTAAAAAAAATATATCAAACAATACTATCTTACAAGATATCCTATTTATTCATAAGGTTTTAATTGTATTTGTTCATCCGTCAGGCTATAGTGATTAGACAGGTTTTAATGTATTCAGCCTTTCAGTACAGGCCTACAGCAAAGTAGAAAGAGTTTGGCCTCATAAAATAATCCCCCGAACAGCTGTGAAAATTGACCAAAAACAATACATTTTATTCTGTCAGTAATTGATATATATATTCTTCACAATGTAAAATATTGTTATTTTTAGAATAATTAGCTATGCATGCAATGATTACAGAATAACCAAAATAATACAAAGAATGGCAATGACTCATTTTTTAAATCACTTTCATTAATTGCAAAAAGATACTGAAAGGGCAGAAGCACGGCTTCGTCTAGCAGAGGAACAACTGACTTTGACCAAACTGCAGCAAACCAAAGCCAGATTTGAGATCCGCATCCTTAAGGCTACACTCAGACAAGCTGGTCTCTCCTCATCAGATGAGAAAGTCTGAATTTATTGTGGAGTTTTTTTTTTATTCAATATAACTATATTTGAAACTTGTCATAAATATCCTCAATGTACAGTGTTTGTGTTGTAGGTCTCAGATGAGCAAACTGCTGTAAGAGAATGGGTTTTTTTGTGTGTGTGTGTTTTCATTTCAAATTAAAATAACATTATATTGACCCCGCACTGGCTTCTCTACTTTTAGCTCTTTACATATCTATAGTTCTACATTGTGGCCTATCCTGTTTGAGATCTGTTTAGTGGTCCTGAAAAGTTCCTACGCGGATCAGATTGATCCAATCCGATGTTGCTTTGAAAAACTGGCTCCAAAAGTAAGATGGATTACGTGATCATGGATCGCAAAAAAGGATTACTAAATCCAGATAAATTTTATCTGGATTAAACCTTTCGAAAAACTGGGCCCTGAAGATCAGTAGGATCGAACCCCTCCAGCTTCAGTCCACTACAAATCGACCGAGGGTGAGTTTTTACTGCCATTACCTAAAACATTACACACACTTCTGTCAGTGCTTGACATTTCACATCAGCTGCAATCATTCATCTTTTAACAGGTGACATTCTGGACCAGTATGAACTCGGCGAGGAGATTGGAGAGGGAGGGTTTGGCAGAATCTATAACGGGAATTGCTTGGAGGACGGCCTTGAGGTGAACAATTCCTTTAACATATATTATGTTCACTTTTTAGTGCACTTGACGTGATTATAACAGAGGTGTTGTTTTGTTGAACAGGTGTCAGTAAAAGTTGCCAGAAAGCCATACATCAACAAGTAGACTTAAAGAGCATATTGTAGGTTAAAAAACTGTTTCAAAAAAAGGTAAAATCGTTTGTGAAAGTATTCTATAATACTATATACTATAATATAATATTATACTATAATATAATAATATTAGTAAAGGTACTAACAACAGCAGGCCCGTGCAGAGACCAACCAAAGGGCATGTGCAGGAATACATTTTTTAAGACTAAAGAGTTGTCGCGCGCGTTCTGATCAGCTGTGTTGTCGCGCGCGTTCTGATCAGCTGTGTTGTCGCGCGCGTTCTGATCAGCTGTGTTGTCGCGCACCTACTGAAGGGCGGGGCCAAGGGTGTGTCGGGTCGCGGGGGCACTTTCTATCCAAGACTAAAAAGGGCATGTGCAGTGCACTGGTTGAGCCCTATGTGTGCACGTGCCTGAACAACAGTATTTATGGGAAAGCAACACCAATCTAACTAATCCTACTTCTAGGCTGGTTATTCTGAGCCTCTTCCTTTAAAGATCGGCCTGTTGATACTGGCTCATAGAGGTGGCAAGTTTCCAGAGATCATTGAGCTGCTGGACTGGCAGGACCAGCAGGATCATTACATCATGATAGTGGAACGACCTTCACCATATGTAGATATGTTCGACTTTACAATGTTTCTCGGCTTCATTAGTGAGCGCCAGGCTCAAAAGATCATGGAGCAAGCAACAACGACCCGTCTGCAGACGTAGGGTTTATCACCGCGATATAAAGCTGGAGAACCTGCTGGTCAACACGGACACGCTTGAGGTCAGGCTAATTGACTTTGGCTGTGGGGTTCTTCTCCAGGAATCTAGCTATGACAGTTTCTGTGGTATGTATTAAACATAACACCTGTACTCTCGACTCTGAATTTGACTAATCATTTATTTTCA